AAGCCGCGATTATTTTAATCGCGGCTTCATTTCCCTCTTCCGAGCTGGCTAATCTACATGCCTCCGTCGACGGAGGCATGGAGTCTGGACACAGCCCAGGGTTTGCTCTTTTCATATTTGCTTGAGAAAGGAGGAAACACTGGACTAGAGCCTCCACTGGTGAAAAATCAACATTGTTTCATTACCCCTGCTGTGGATTGGCTGCCAAACTTTTTAAATGTGATTTTAATGAATAGCCTTCCAAAGCAGAGTGACTGTTAAGCAGACAGCTCTTATGGCAAACAGAGAGCAGTTCTCAGGTATTGAGACATTCTCCTTTTCTGTGGTGGCTGTTCTCATATGTGGAATATGAACACATAAACCAAACTATTGGGGCTTGATAGTTTTTTCCTGCCACATCTGAAAAGTCTGTTTTAAAAACAAATGCTGTAATCAATGATACCCAAGACCATGTTTAAAGACTGACCACATTCTTTTAGTTTCCAATAGAAAAGAATTATTCAAATATGGTAATGATTCTATTTTTCCTCTTCTCAGATGGTCTACCATGTCCCGTTATTCTCTGGGACTCTTCACTTACTCCAACAAATAATAGGACCCATTCGTCAGTGAAGCTAAATTGGGGGGCCTATCAGCAGCTATTGAAGCAGAAATGCTGGCAGAATGGCAAAGTTCCCAAAGCTGAGTGGGGCTGTACTGAGGTCCATCACCATGAGTGGTCTAAGATGGCACTCTTTGATTTCCTTCTGCAGGTAAGGGAGCAATGTGACGTTTTTACTGTTTACACAGAATATCAATGTTTGCAAGATTTATCTGAGCACCATTCTCCTTAAGGATAAACTGTTTCCACAGATGTATCCAATGAAAAAATTCACTCTTGGTTGCAGTTTTGCAGAAGGGGAGTGTTTAAAAAGATGGTTTTAGGTTTTGTCTTTAATGAGAAAGGTTTGTGTTTGTGTCCCTTTGCCTTGTTTCTGGTACGTTGTACAACCCTAAAGTTAAAAAAGATCAGGTCTTATTCAGCACTGCCTTGCACCTTTATTCATTTACACTTGTGCAAAGTGGGGGTAAACTGCTGCCATTCTAGTTTGGTAGCATTTTATATCCATAGGTGTAAATAAATATACAAGGCACTGGACAGTCAGGACCTCTATTTGTAAGGCACAGTGACAGATCCTTAGCTGATGTGACTCATTTTCATTCCATTTAGTAGAACTCAGCTATGGAGGATTTGGCCCTAAGCCATTTTGCAGCACCAGTCTCATGCTCTTGAAAAAGGCAGAGCATCACCTGCAATGACACCAGTTCCTTCATTTCCCCTTCTCCAGCAAAAGGCCGCTGGCACTGAGCCATAGATGCGAGAATCTCATTGGTCTTTCTTCTTGTT